AAACTTCACTGGGGGATCAAGTTCTGTCAAATCCGGTAAATGGCGTTTCCTGCTGTGGCAGTGGGTCCTTAGGGCTCGTTACATGATCAAGAAAACCTACATTATCATCCCTAGACTACTAGAACATGTCGTTACAACTATAGCCCAGAGATCTGCAACATGCTCTAGCTGTAAACTGTCATAATTTCGATAGTTTTTTTCGTCTCAATCTTTGCAAACAGTCGTAGGCACAGCTGTTCAGCCTGGTCTCTTATGCCCCTGTCGGTAGGTATGGCCTAATGAGAAGTCCCAACACTGATTTATTTTCAACTTCAGGTGATCTCACACTGAATTGTAACCACCAGGCAGATAGGGCATCTAACCTTCGTACAACGCCAAGCTAGGTTAAACTGAAATGCCCAAGTGTCATTAAGTAACCCAGACGCGATGATGATGCTTCAGCACATTATTTTGTGACGCCTTAACGCAATGCCTTCTTCCGCCAATCATATTTCGAAGTTAGGCCCACCGAGAGTAACGACTAACTACTCCATGTCTTGTTTACGGGGGTTGTAAAAGCCCTTCTCGGCTGGACAAGAATACTTATTAAGTGAACCTATCGCTTTTTTATGCTCGTCTTTACAGCTGCGCGCTGCTCGACGTCAGGAGGAATCCGAACGGCGCTCTCGATTCGCCCAACTGACTGCGGAACTGAAGGCCGCCATAGCTGAGTTGGAATCTCTGGTTTCCGTTCCCGCCGCGGCCACAACCAACCGCTCAGTTGAAGAAGCTACAAACATGACTGCCCGGAAGCGTGCGCTCATGCACACTATTAAGCGGGTGGACAAGGAGTTGACCGAGTTGAAAAAGAGCCTGGGAGGTGGTAGTGGTGGCGCTGGTCATGAGCGGTCCGCCAGTGAGAGCACTGATGAGCCGGTTGCGGTGGCCGCCGCGAAGAAGTCAACTGTGAAGCAATTCCTGCCAGACTCACTGGCTGCTGAGCGTCTGGAGCAAATTGAGAAAGTAAGTTAGCCGTGAAGTGAAACTGCGTCTGTTTGGCTGATTTCTTAGCGTATTCTATTTTCCAAAGAAGCCTTATTAGACCCCTTCAACGCCTAACTCCTTTCTGCTCCCTTTGACAGGTTAAAGAACAAATTTCGCAAATGGAGTCCGAAATGCAAAAGAATCAAGACAAACCCGATGTGCTTTCTGAAACGCGTCGGAAGATGACCGAGTTAAAACGCAAGGTATAGCCGAGAGGTTACGCATTTTGCCGGCCTTGTTTCTAATAATTTATTTCACCATTTTCTTCTCTTGCCCTTCCCCCCAGACTGGATATTCCAGTAACTTGCCCGTAGAAACTTAAAAGCGAGTTCCAGGAAGCAGTTCAGAAGAAGATGCGATCGCTGGAACAACAGGTTTATTGGCCTGATATTTCAGCTTCTCATTGGAAACCATCACCAGAAGCATCTGCAACTGTCTCTGCTGATGACTTCGAGTGGGAATCCGAAAGATCGGGCCAATAAACTTCTTGCTCCAGTGGTCGCATCTTCTCCCATTCCACTAGATCGCTTTCACAACAGTGGGTTGACAACTTTATCCATCAGATGTTCGACTAAAGTTCTGATAATGCTAATCAGGGCTCGCAACTAGGTCTTAGGAATTGGACTTTCACCTAGTTATCGGTTTAACATATTACAAAAGTAGCTATTATCGGTATGTATCTTTGTTTTTTTCAGCTTGTGGACCTTGAAACCGTTAGGCCGAGGGATTTGGCTACTCTTAACGCCAGTGGACTGCCAATCCGCGGCCAGACTAAACTTGATAAACGGCCGCGCTCGCTCTACGTCACTGGTCATTCCATCTACGACGTAGAGGACTTTCGGCAAGCACTCTCCGTAAGAACTCACTATTTTATTATTCTGCTTCTTCTGCACCCGTTGTATCTATTCAACAATCCTCCCTTCATTATTGTTTCTCCTCAGACACTGCTGTCCATTAAGTCTACCGTGTTCCCTAGTTATAAATCAGGTAGATAGGCCCAGCGGAATAGCCTTGTTTGGCAAATGAAACTCCGACCACCCTTTTGTCTTATTCGATTACTGAGCGCAAAATTATTTGCGCATACAGACGAGCTAAATCAAAAATTTAGTTTCTGCATACTTTGACAATTAGAGTTCACTTTCAGCGTGTGGTGCGGTCGCGTTGGAGCGCATTGTTTCAGGCCGAAGAAGCAATTCCGACCGCTGTAGGAATTTTATTCCGTACAAATATCTTTCACGGATTGCCGTATAGCGCCAGCAATCACCAGCTACGCTCTACGCTCTCTTCTCCGTTGCACTAAACGGATAGTTGTGTACATGCTTGTTTCTCTTCTAAAGCGCTTAGGTTGACAGTGGTTTACCGTGGCTCCTAGGGGCATGTTGCCCAACGCGACGGTTTTGACGATTTTTTGTTGAAAAAGTGGACTTCCTACTGAGTGGGGTATGAAGACGTAAAAAGTAAATATAAATGTGAATTTTCACGTGAGCATTGTGCCAATTGCTTTGCATTACTTTTTGGTGACAGTAATGTGGGAACTCGGTGGCACTGCCTCGGAAGAAAAACCTTTTACGCTCGGTCCGAAATATGTTAGGAATATTTGAGCTGTAGTCCATCAGCTACTGAGCAAGAACCGCGTAATATTCACAAGCTACCAACGGGCAGTCAGTAGTATACAAATACGTAATGAGTTATCATACTGTCGGCTCAGGTAGTAGTAGCTAAAAACCCGTCAAGGGTTAGCGGTAGGGCCAATCAGCATTCTAGGTCATTATTCCGTTATTGTTGTTATTTTCCCATCATTTGTTCATCCCTGTAGGCCGGTTGCTAGTTGAACAGTTTATCTTATTAATTGTGGAATAAGAGTTCGCGAAATTTTGCGTGCGTCGTCGTCGTTTTAGCCTTGCTTAAATTTGTTCCAGAGAAACCATGTTTTGCACCTGGTGACTTTATGACTTCGTAGTAATAAGACATGCAGCTCCTGCAAGTAACCACGTTCGTTCGGTGAGAGCTTTACCACGGGAAGGCATCAGATCATCAGGTGCCATCGCTGAATTCTTCCTGTAGCAGGGTGTTAACCGCAGTATCTCTCTTTTGTCTGCCTGCCCGCTCCATATCTTCGTTCAAATTGACACTCACTTTTCTCCTTCCTGCATTTATTCGTTTCCAGCTGAACTACCTGTACACCGAGAGTTTCCGTCCCTTTACTGTTAATGAGCAACCTGTGATTGAAATCGCCTTCCGAACGCGTGACTTCGCAGAGGCTGCTACGCGCCTTTTCCCACAATTTCACGGACGCCAGCTAGTTATGTCCTTTTCACCACCTGATTTCCTCTCCACCGCTGTGTTACCGACCTCCGACTCCTCGGGCAAGGGCGTGATCCCTAGCCCAAAATCCAGCGGATCAGCAGCCTTGGCCCAGGAGCACGACAACCGGGATGTGCGAATTGAGGTGAGTGACCCAGAAGCCTGACGATACATGTGCGGATTTTATTTTCATATGGGTTTGATTGGGGAAATTCAATTTGAATAAGCCGGCAACTTTTGAGACGATGTGTCTCGCGTTTGCTATAGACAATACTGCTCTACAGTTGTGCCTTCCTGCCAGCCTCCTCAGTTGGAATATGATTAAGGAAGTCCCGATACATATTGCCTGGTCGCATGGTCTAATTCGATTATCAACCTTTTTGATGCCATTAGAAACTAGGCGTAGACTGCATACTGCTCGCAGATTGTAGTCACAATGAGAACCAGCTGGGTTTTTTTTTCTTAGGAGACCTCAGTACTGTAAGCTGAATGCGCGTGAGTGACACCTACCAACAGCTATCTTGACGAGGTGCATAAAGGGAGGGCTATGTTACAGATAGGTAACCTTTGTAATCAGTTGGTAATCCGTTGGTATTTTCCCATAAGATTGCCTCCTCAAATGAATGTGTTTAGCACGCCATATTCAACACTCAGTGCCTAAAATCCAGCTCAAAACGCAACTCCTGTGCTTGGTTTTAAGTATTATTGTCTATTGCCGCTCTCATGTGACAGTATCTAAGCCATTATCGAGTTTCATACATCTCTGTAAAAGTTACTTAGCCTTGAATGTTGACACGTGAGTTATTGTGCGAATTTTTACTCGTATTTTCACATCGTTTAGCTTTTTCAACTTGCACGAGTTCGACAGTTTTTCTCCTAAAAACCACAAGTGGCATTC